CCTATCCCCTGTGTGCCTTGCCTCCCACGACTTATAAGTGAAATTGAAAATTGAATAGTGCTTTGCCCCGCAACGGACATGCTATGTCTGTAGCAGTTTTATTTTGAAAACTGTAACAGATCTACTGGAACCGTGGTGGTTGCCTATGTTTTCGTGTGTGAAAAAATACTGCCGCAGACATGCTCTGTTCATGGCGGTAAACATTTTTTTTTATCGACGCTGTTTGAAAAAATCAAACAATGTCGAGCCTATGGACAAAAACACTGTTCATTTTTTACCCATAGGCTATAATTTTTCATAATTTAAAGTTCATCGATTAGTCACAAGTGCATGATAGTGTTATAATTTTAATAATTTTTCTAGAAATTAATTGCATATGAAATTTGGACTGTGTCTACATTTAACCAACACACACTTAATAAAAATAATAAAAAAATACATGCAAGATTCATATGGGTAATTTAGTCATTTTATTATTTATATTATTTTTTATATTTTATTTAGGTGCAGCTGACTGAGATGCATACACCTACAAAATCTAAGGTCCAATCTAATTTTGTAGAAAATTATTAAAATTCAAATTCTATCAGATAATAGTACCCATCTTGTGGACTTTAGATGTTGATGAGCCATAGATGAAGTTCTATATAATCTTAGTCAAGAAAGTTTTTTCGTATTGGAAAAAGTTTATATAGAGCCGAGGTTCAAAACAATCAAATTAGAGCCCACCTAAAAAATTTTACTGGAAGAGGTTGTTTTGATGCACAAATATCCACAAATTGATTATCTCAACATCAAGATGCATGGACATGACAAAAAAATGGATTTTAGGTTTTGAAAATAGTGCATTTTGTAATGCAGTTTTGGATCGTCAATTTTCAAGATTTTGAAGTTTTCATATATCTGCTTGATCTACACTATTTTTTAAGCTTTAAATTTTATAACTCAAGATAACAACATATTTTAAGGCTATAACAAAGATTTCTAGTATTGAAACTACATTTGTCGACACTATGTTGAACGTATGCATTACTTTGATTGTTTAGAGCCTCGACTCTATGCAAACTGCACCTTTTAGTATTTTTTAGGGAAAATATCTCCATTATCCCCTATTTTTAGGTTGCATTTCTTGATAACCCAAGATTTCAAAAGACATTCTAACCCATAGCCACTTCAAACCTATTTTTTAACCTAAACAAATGTGAGAAAGACACGTTATTTTTAAACCCAATTATTTATATCTTTTCACTTATATATTTCAAATTTCTCTTTTTCTCTCTCTTCTTATGTCTTTTTCACTCTCTCTCCTCTTGTGTTTTTTCAAACAACTATTTCTCTCCTCCCTGTAACCTCTCACCTCCATGAAGCCCTTATCTCTCTAGAAATTTGGGCGGATGGTTTTTAGAAAAAGCATGTCTTTTTAGATTTGTTGACTTCTAAAAAAAGAAGTTTAAATTAGTTTAGGGGTTAAAAGAATAAAATCTACAATTTTTATGTCCCAAGATATTTTTTAAAACATTAGTTCTTTTGTGAAATGAAACCTAAAAATAAGAGGTATGGAGATATTTTTTTTGTGTATGTGTGCGATCCTAATGTAATAAAACAACCAAACTAACCTTAAAAAAATTTAGGGGTAATTTGGTTATTTTATTGTATGAAAATATTTTTATAAATTTTTAGATGTTCCCCTGTAAGAAGATGACATGTCCTAAATTTCATGTATATAAGAAAAAATAAAAAATGAAATACTATGAGCCATGGGATCATAACTTCATCGGTCTTGGTAGGATACATAAGTTTCCTATATCCAGAAAGGTTTCCCCCTTTGTAAAGGGAAAGGTTTTTTAAGGTGGAGATCAAAAAAACATTAGAAGTGGTTGTTTCAACCAAAATTCTTCACATGGATGATCTCAACCTCAAGATGTACAGGCAAGAAAAAAATAAATTTCAAGTCTTGGATGTAGTACATTGTGTAATACATTTTTGGATCATCAATTTTCAAGTGTTTATATATCTGCTCGATCTACATTATTTTTAAAATTTTAAATTTTATAATTAGATATAAAAATAAATTTTGTGGCCATCACAAATATTGAAACAACATTTTTTGACACTATTTGAAGGCATGGCTTATTTTGATGGTTTAGGTCCCCGGCCTTATACAAACAACTCCCTTATTTTAAACACCCTAAAAAATACTATCATATATACAACTTTGCAAAATGATTTAAGGTCTCTCACGAGGGCCCATTTGGATAGGCCCACAACTCCATTGAGGAACGAATTCTTTTGAAATAAAAAGCAGATTATTCTTCACTAGGAGTGGCTTTCTGCGTTTCTTCTTCAAATTCAGGGAGTACAAAACATACGAATAGCAGACCAAGCCAACCTGTTTCCATTTACATCCCCAAATGGGAAGGAAGTAAGCAAACTTATTTGTTAATCAAAACTTTTGATTGAATCGAAACACTCGCGGCATCTTCCACTAAACATAGTCTTGAGCAGATTAAGATATCTCTCTCACACACATACACACAAAGACGCACAAGTTCTTTACTAGATATATGCATATAGGAAAAAGATTAGATTAGCACACTTACTCATCCCTTCAGCTGCGCCCAATGGTCATGATAACAAGCCTATTTTTTTACGGTCACAATGCAGCGTTTGCGAAGCCTGCCTTTTGCGTTCAAAAACGATTTTTTAAAAAAAGTGACTGACAAAACAGGACAGCGCACTGACACCCTTTCGCGTTTAAAATACGATTTTTTAAATCGTTTGACTGAGAAAACTGGACGGCCGTCTGACACATCGGTCAGACGTCTAACTCACTCCTACATTTTCCCTCTCTCTCTCCACATATTGATTTGCTCTCTCTCCTTTTATTCCAGTGTATTTGGGTAAAACTTCTATGCCCCACTCACGTTGTATCTTTGGTCATGGTCACTGTTTCTCTTGCTTGATGCACTGCCACACGCTCCTGTTCTCTCCACTCTTTCTCTCTCTAAATCACTATATTTTTCAGGTGAAACTTTAATCTCTCGCATACCATCACTCCAATCTCTCTCTAAATCCGTATGGCTTTTTGAGGTAAGACTTCATCTATCGCACACCATCTCTCCAATCTTTCACTCTTTAAATCTCTATAGCTTGTTGGGGTAAAATCTCCTCTCGTACACCATCTCACCAATCTTTCTCTCTTTAAATCCCTGTGGCTTTTTGGAGTAAAACTTCATCCCTCGTTCACTGTCTCTCCACTCTTTTTCTCTCTAAATCCATATGTTTTTTGGGTAAAACCTCAACCATCTCTCCACTCTTTCTATCTCTGAATCCCTGTTTTTTTTTTGGGGTAAGAGTTCATCTCAAACCCTTGCTCTCTACCCTACTCGTACCCGTCTCTTAAAGCCCAAGACAATACAGGGAAAACCAAATTCTCAAGCATCATGTATGATTTTTATGTACATGATTTTTATTTTTCTTTTCCAATGGATTTCTTAGGTGCATTGTATACTTTTTCCTTTCGAAAATCGATCTTAGAGACGATCTAAGATACATTAAAGTTACTCTTGATGGCTACTTAAATATAAACATGGGAACTTTTTTTTTGTTTCTTATATTACTTTCTTTGTCTATTTCCAAAAAAAAAAAAGGTAGTAATTTGTGATATCAGAATGAAGAGCTTATCAGAATAAATTGCAACATAATTTATTTCAATTATACTGGAATAAGGGTTTTATACAATAAGAGCATTTTCCTTTGTCAAAATCTATTAGCATAGGTATTTCACAAATTCAATTGAAATTTCTTTCGAAGTTTGAACTTGGTCAATGCAATAATGTAGCCATCTAGTTTCACATCCACAATGAGAAACAAGATTGGCACAAGTTGTAACAATTGACAGCAATCAATAGCAAATACTAAGCAACATTTTAAATCTTAATTTTTTCCCACAATTGTAATATTCAAGGCCAAATAATTTGATGCAAAAATTTTCTAATACTTGAATTACAATTTTAGATGAGTTATACCCAATGGTTTAAAAAAAGGATCGGTGACCCGGATCGGGCTTCCAAAAAACCGATCCGGATCGGCGAATCGGCAATCCGGATCGTGAATCGGGTGAATCGGTCAGAATAAAGCTTAAAAAAAAATCGAAAAAATTATTAAAATTCATTATAAATATTGTTTTTTAGGAATTCAATAAAAAATGAGGGTACTCCATTAAGAATTTTCATGCTTTTGAATGAATATGCGAATATTGATATGTTCTTTCCCTGCATGAACTGCCATTCAGTATTTAATTTACAGTATTTCGTGCTCATCCCTACACTGTTGCTGTTGGGACTTGATATGTGAATAATATGGCTGGGATAGGGTGGCCTCAGAATCATCATCTCTCTCGTTTTCTCTTTGAATAATATGGATTAAAAAAAAAAAAACAAATTTTCAAAAAAATCGATCATGGATTAAAAAAAAAATCACAAATTTTCAAAAAATTCTATCATGGATTACAAAAAAAAATTCGATCATGGATTAAAAAAAAAAAATCACAAATTTTCACAAAATTCAATCATGGATTACATAAAATTCGATCATGGATTACATAAAATTCGATCATGGATTACAAAAAATAACAAACAAAAAAAACAGACAAAAAAAAACAAAAAATTCAATC